ATGAATTTTATGAGCTAAAACAAATATCTTCAGTTAATTAAAAAAAATATATTCTTCACCACACTATCTGTCAATCAAAGTACCCCACCTTGCCTCCCCCCTCTTCCAACCACGCGGTCAGTCCCAACCCTCCACCCCACCCCCCACCAATCCTCCCTTCAAGAGATGTTGGGTGAAAAAAATAAATTATATCATTTTGTATTAAATAATACCTCAGATTAAAGTTAGGATAATATAATTGACATTGCTGGATTCCTTGTAAGACCAGGAATATTTTGAATATAAATGTCATATATTTTGCACAAAAGAGAACATATCTACTCAGAGAAAACATTTTATCTAAAATTTGTATGTCTAATGCAAAATATATGATGTTTATATTCAAAATGATCATCAAATTATAAGAATTCCAGCAATGTAAATTATATTCTGACCGGGTAATTTGTATGAATTTTATGAGCTAAAACAAATATCTTCAGTTAATAAAAAAAAAAAATATTCTTCACAGGGTAACAGATGGTCGGTCGGTCCCTCCCTCCCCCCACCCCCCACCAACCGTCCCAAGGAGATGTGTGGGATAACCAGAATATTTAACTTTAGTAATAAATAATACCTCAAACTAAAGTTAGGATAATATAATTGACATTGCTGGATTCCTTGTAAGACCAGGAATATTTTGAATATAAATGTCATATATTTTGCACAAAAGATAACATATTTACTCAGAGAAAACATTTTATCTAAAATTTGTATGTCTAATGCAAAATATATGATGTTTATATTCAAAATGATCACCAAATTATAAGAATTCCAGCAATGTAAATTATATTCTGGCCGGGTAATTTGTATGAATTTTATGAGCTAAAACAGGCAGTCAGGCAGGGTGGCGGGTGGGGCAAATCTAAAAATAGCGTCTCGAGCACGCACGCACGCACGCACGCACGCACGCACACACACACACACACACACACACACACACACCATTTAACGAAGGCCTCGGTTAACGAAATTTCGGTTAACGAACTGCCTTCCATAAGGATCTTCAATTCGGTTAACGAACAAAAATTCGGTTAACGAATTTCTTACGAACCGACCTCAACATGTTTTCGCTTGCACTAACCGGGCAACCAGCTTTAGTATCAGTCCACCAATACATTAATCGGTTCTAGGGCTTAAATTCCTTACTATTTTAGTGAATATCAAGGAGTTTATACTATTCAATAATTTTAAAAGTTTAATATTAAATTTTTTAGTCATTTTAACAATTATTGAACATAATTGAAGGTAAAGTGACTAGTTTAATGCGTGGCATCCAGCCTCTTAACACAGCAAACAGGCGTTAGTCTCTCTCTGTTTTCACTGGAGGTAACATCTTGCTTGAGACTCTCTTCAACTAAATGCTTTTTTTCTGTGTTTCCAAGCAAATTATTGGTCATTTTGAAATTTATTTTACATATTGACAATATATAGCACAGTGCAGTGTTATTGTAAAGAAAATATTCTTTATTTACAACAAATTTAACTTTGAAAAGCACGTGTTGACCTTGTTTGAATCCAGCATGGGGCCTAAGAGATCAAGAAAAGTGATTTCAATCCAAACCAAGCAGGAAATCATAAAAAACATGAATAAGGCATTAGAACAAATGCGCTATGCAAAGAATATTGCATGTCGACATCAACTGTGTCGACAATTCTTGCTCAGAAAGACAAATTTAAAGAAGTGAAAGTGAGAGACAAATCTACAAGAGCATTTAAAAGTAGATCCCTAATTGCAGAAACTGAGAGGTTACTTATCATCTAGATTAGGGAATAACAGATGAAAGGTGATTCAGTTTCTACTGAATTCATTTGTGAAAGAGCCAGGGAGATTTACGAACATTTAAAGAAAGATCAACCTGGTTCTTCAGGCACAGAATTTGAAGATTTTCTGGCCAGCAAAGGCTGGTTCGAAAAATTTAAGAAAAGAAGTGACATCTTTAGTGTTGTTAGGCATGGTGAAGCTGCTAGTGCTGATAAGGAAGGGGCAGCAAAGTTTTTAGATGAATTTAAAAAACTGATGGAAGAAGAAAATTTTCTTCCACAGCAAGTGTTCAATGTGGACGAAACTGGGCTGTTCTGGAAAAAGATGCCCAAAAGAACATTCATCAGCAGAGATGAAGTCTCTTTACCAGGACATAAACCCATGAAAGACCGTCTCACTCTATTGCTTGGTGCCAATGCTTCAGGGGATTTCCGACTGAAGTCTATGCTTGTCTACCACTCTGAAAACCCCAGGGTGTTCAAGCAACAGAAAGTGGTAAGAACAAAGCTTGGAGTTTATTGGAAGTCCAACCGTAAGGCATGGGTGACAAGACAGCTCTTTAATGAATGGGCTGTTGATGTGTTTTGCCCTTCTGTCAAGAGCTACCTAACCACCAATAAACTCCCTTTAAAGGCTCTTCTCCTCATGGATAATGCTCCTGGTCATGACCCTGACCTTGCCAGAAATTTGGAGTATCAATTTGACTTTGTGAAAGTGTTGTTTTTGCCTCCAAACACTACATCAATCATACAGCCAATGGACCAGAATGTGATCAGCAACTTCAAGAAGTTGTACATGAAGAAAATGTTTAGGAGATGTCATCAGGCAACTTCCAATGATCCTGAACTAACACTGAAACATTTCTGGAAGAGACAATTCAACATCCTGGAGGCTGTAAAATTGATTGTGTCATCATGGCAAGAAGTCTCCACTAGATCCCTCAATTCTTCATGGAAAGCTCTGTGGCCATCAGTAGCCCATGATTTTGAGGGATTTGAGGAAGAAACAGAGTTGGACCAGGAGTTTGTGTCCATTGGTCGTCATTCCTTGAAGTGGAGGAGGAGGATGTGGAAGAGCTTGTGATGTCTCATGAGGAGGAACTTACTCCTGATGACTTTAAGCAACTGGATGAGATGTTACAGGTAGAGGCTGACAGTGGTGAGGAGGAAATTGAAAGTGATGACCATATGTCGGCTAAACAGTTGAAAGATGTGATTTACTACTGGGAGAAGTTCAGGGAACCAGCTTCAAAGCACCCAGAAGTGGAAAAAACTGAACTAACTATGTGTCATGTTGAGGACTCGGTGGTCTCCTTCTTTAAACATAAGTTAATGGTGAGGAGGACAGATGCCCCACAGACCACAATTGACACTTTCTTCAGTAAAAGGCAGAGGGAACAAGATGCTATCCCTCAGCCTTCCACTTCAAGAAGGGGAGAGGATGTTCATGTGAGACCCACACCACACCAAAGTAAGTGAACCTTTCTACCATTTTTGTTTAATTTAGGCAATTTTCGGTGAGCTGGAACCAATTACCCAAAAACCCATTGAAATAATGGTTTCGGTTAACGAGATTTTCGGTTAACAAGCAACCTGCTGGAACGGATTGTGCTCGTTAACCGAGGGACCACTGTAGGGTGTTTTTACTGAAGGTTTTGTTGTTCCAATACCCTCAAAAACTTGGGTCGACCTATAAACAAGGAATATCATAAATTAACAATTTTTGGTCAAAAAATCAGGGTCGACCTATAATGCTGATGTCAACACAAGAGTGGTTACAGCGAGACTGACTGAGTGAGGGAGCGCGGGGTGGCGTGACGCGTGTGTGTGTGTGTGTGTGGGGTGGCGGGCGGTGTGCGGTGCCGCGCGCGATTTGAATGCACTTAAATTACTTCAATGTACAGAATATTCCTCCGGCGGGGCAATCTGCATATTTGCTAAACCCGCGTATGTGAAGGGCCGACTGTATTGTGCTATTAATTCAGGTTCACTATAATTATAATAACCTTTCAACTGTTGGTGAATTTCTCAACTTGCTACAGAGAAATATTAACTTATATATAGACTTTATTTAATGTTTTCTTTATTTAAAGTTTGTATGCTATGGTGTTTTCTTTATTTTGTTATTTAACCCATCGATGGTCAATTAATTTAACCTAAGTCATGCCGAGAGGGTCAAAGATTTTCCACATTTATTTTGTTGGCTAAAACAACCCCATAGGACCCCAAAAGTCACATGGTAATGGTGAAAAGTATTGTGAATGGAAAAAAGGCATAGAAAAAGTCGCATTTTATTTAAATATCATTAACACTTTAAGTAATAAAACAAAAAATATTTTGTCACTTATTAATTGACTTGTACACATTGACAACACAATTTATATATGATGGCATTACATGTATGTTAGGTTAGGTTAGGTTTTTTCAGTGACTTTTTCTTGGATTAGAAAAACACACCTATAAGCTAGTTTAAAAGTCCAGTCTGGCGCTGAGTCGTTCACAGGTGTCAGCATATCTGCTATCACTTCCACTTCCTTATGTTATTTACTTAACAATATAACTGCAGTATATAATTATTTCTATATACAGTATACACTATGTACACTAGAGGCACCAAGTTGTATGCCAGATAGTGTCCTGAAAGTTTTCACTGAGAGATGTGGCAACTCACACATACACACCAACCACCTTGTCTCTGTTTTGCGGCCTCCACACGCTCATCTATTTATAGCCATGGGCTGCCAAGTCTTATAAAATCAGTTTTTCTACAGATTTGGACCTTAGCCGAATGTGACATAAACTACATCAGTGACCATTAAGAGATTAAGAAGTGAAACAAACATTCAACTGAGTTTGTGTGAATGTGTGGCACAGTTTTCCAGTAATGTCTATGACCACCATTACATGTAGTATTTAACTTAATATGTTTATTATTGACTCAACCATTGTGTAAAACAAAAATTTTCATTAAAAACATGTTTTGTAGCATTTGGTGAAATTTTTTTAGGAACTTGTGGCAGCTTTAGTAATGAGGGTCTAAGGGAAAATGTGATGCAATTTATGAGAAAAACTTACAAATGGTTTTCAGAATTGAAATAATTTTGTAAACCAGTAACTGCCTGTATAGGGGACCTGCTAAGGTGAGGGGTGGCACAGAACACTACTCAAGAACTAATTTTAAGTGTTTTTCATTCTTTCAGAACAGCTGTTGTGCAGCATATATGATGAACTCAAGTAACACAATAGGCATGGAGTCCTTTTTAGCCTTACACAAGTGGAGTCTTGAGACCAATAAACTGTCAAACATCAGACTGGCAGAACTTAACCGAGAGTGGCAGGTGATGAAGACATCTCTCATTAACAGAGAACAACAAGCAGTAAGAGTCCACCAACAGAAGACAATGTTTCTCAGTAATGTAAAGGAAGTGAGTAAGTGTGAGAAACACAGTGGTGATGTGAGCAGCAGTAGCAGTAGTCATACAGGTACTAGTATTAGCAGCAGTAGTAGTAGTAGTAGCAACAGTCAGAGCAGCTGGAAAATCAAGAAAAGAATACAAAGTTATAAAATAATGGGATCTGACACTGGTGTAAGTCACTTCCCATCAGGTGGTCCAGAGACAGTAAGAAAGAGAGGGAACCGTAAACTTGTGTGCACGGTTTGTGGTCTTGTTTGTCAACATAATGCACATTTTCAAATTCATATGCGCACTCACACTGGTGAAAAGCCCTTTAAATGTAATTTTTGTGAACGAGCCTTTGCTCAAAAATCTGATCTGACTAAACATGAACGCATTCACACTGGTGAAAAGCCATTCAAGTGTGATATCTGTGAAAAAGCTTTTGCCATCGGTAAATCACTGCAGGATCATCGTCGGCAGCACACGGGAGAGAGGCCCTACGAATGTAGTGAGTGTGAAAGGAGATTTAGAAACTCCTCAGGGCTGAGCGAACATCGCAAGACTCACCGAAAACAGTACGAAAGAGAAATGTTTGGCAAAGTCGACAAAAAGACACATGGCTTATCCCTTATTAAGCAACACGAAGGCAGTGATACAGCCAGATGTAGTTTTTGTGGTAAGAATTACCCGAGCAGACAAAGTTTACTCTCTCATGTGAGAATGGTTCACATGAAGAACACACCGTACCAGTGTGCCAAGTGTCGTACATCTTACTCTTCCATACACGGACTCTGCTTACACGTGGGTGCTGTTCATAGACATACAAATGTGCAGCAGCAGAGTCTATTGGTGCCATTGTACAAGTGTTCAGGTTGTGTGTCAAAATTTACCACCAGAGTGGCACTGATAGAGCACACACAAGACACGGGACACGGTCACCTTAAGTGTGATGTGTGTGACCTCACCGTGGAGGACTTGGAGCAGCTCGTTGACCACCGCTGGCAGCACCAGATCACAGGACACAATGAAATAACAAATGACAAATGTAAAAGATTAAATAAAACAACATTCCGTAAAGGGATTAGAATTCTGGGTGGGAATTCGAAAAACAAAAAAAGCAAAGATATTAATTTGGCAAAGAAGCACAGAGAACCGGTTGTACCTGGAAAGTTAAGAGTAATGACCATTCTACCCATTGAGGCATTTAAAGAATTATCAGAAGGTAATGGAAGTAAAGATGAAGGTGACAGTGTTGAGGAATCTACTGTGAGTAGGAAGCCCATGGCCACTGTGGAGTCTTCAAGTGACACCTGCACAACGGTCACAGGAACAGATTATGTATTCCGAAGTTGTGAAAAAAAAGAGAAAAATAAACGGATGTCACTGTTGCCAAATAAAAAGCCCTCAAAGCACTCTGAAGACTCTAAGCATTACGAATCACTGAACATAAGACAACTACAGACCCACAACAAGCGACTGGCAGCAGAGACAGAAACTTATGCATCGTCAAGCTACCTCAACTGCAGGTCTTCACAGAGAACCAGGAATGAGACTCGCCCTCTTCACATGTCCGACGCAGATCCTCTGTTTGTGAGCAGACGTCCACAAGAGTGGGACAAACGCTGGCTTGATGAGAGCATTGACATTATCTCCATTTAAGAAGCTCACATGCTCTGTCACTACATGTTAGTTATTAAGTATCATTCCAGCAAGTTAGTAAGAGTCTTCCTGCATGTTTACAGTACTCATTATACATTGAAGTAGATGACAACGACCAGTTAGGACAATTATACAAGTTTTTGATACAGTATTTAGGATGATCTTAATGTTTGGTTCACTAGAGTCACTCAAGCTTGACCTGTTTGTTCACTAGTCACTCTAGGTTGACCTGTTTGTTCACTAGTCACTCTAGGTTGACCTGTTTGTTCACTAGTCACTCAAGGTTGACCCTTTTGTTCACTAGAGTCACTCAAGGTTGACCTGTTTGTTCACTAGAGTCACTCAAGGTTGACCTGTTTGTTCACTAGTCACTCTAGGTTGATCTGTTTGTTCACTAGAGTCACTCAAGGTTGACCTGTTTGTTCACTAGAGTCACTCAAGGTTGACCTGTTTGTTCACTAGTCACTCTAGGTTGACCTGTTTGTTCACTAGTCACTCTAGGTTTCTAGACCCGTTTGTTCACTAGTCACCTGGTTGCCGACCTGGCTTTGTCTACCAGTCACTCTTAGGTTGACCTGTTTGTTCACTAGTCACCTAGGCTGACCTGTTTGTCAACATTAGCTACCTGGCTGTCGACCTGTTTGTTCACCAGGAGTCACTGCTGCTGACCTTGTTTGTTCACTCAGTCACTGGTGCTACCTGTTTGTTCACTAGTCACTCTAAGTTGACCTGTTTGTTCACTAGTCAATTTCAAGTTGATCTGTTTGTTCACTATCACCTAGGTTGACCTGTTTGTTCACCAATCACTTAGGTTGACCTGTTTGTTCACTCAGTCACTTTAGGTTGACCTGTTTGTTCACTAGTCACCTAGGTTGACCTGTCGTTCACTAGTTGACCTGTTTGTTCACTAGTCACTCTGACCTGTTTGTTCATCAGTCACTCTAGGCTGACCTGTTGTTCACTAGTCACTCTAGGTTGACCTGTTTGTTCACTAGTCACTCAAGGTTGACCTGTTTGTTCACTAGTCACTCTAGGTTGACCTGTTTGTTCACTAGTCACTCTAGGTTGACCTGTTTGTTCACTAGTCACTCTAGGTTGACCTGTTTGTTCACTAGTCACTCTAGGTTGACCTGTTTGTTCACTAGTCACTCTAGGTTGACCTGTTTGTTCACTAGTCACTCTAGGTTGACCTGTTTGTTCACTAGTCACTCTAGGTTGACCTGTTTGTTTATAATTCTCATAATCATCAAAGCACTGTAAATAGTGAGCCAATTCTTTGAATCTCATTTATGTGTGTGTGTGTGTGTGTGTGTGTGTGTGTGTGTGTGTGTGTGTGTGTGTGTGTGGAAAAATTTAGTTGCAGTAAAAAATATAAAGTAATTTTTTTACATAAGCTGTAGACTCAAGAAAAAGTGCCATATACAGTTGTCACATTATTATGCAGTATTCCTTAATAGATTATTAACATGTCAAGTATCAGTTAAAAACTTAAGCTAAGTCTTTATAAAAAACAGTGTGGGTGTATGGTGGTAGCTAGAGCTGCTCTGTGAGGTATCTAAACATAGTGGCTTTAGTTATGTCCACAAGTACTGTATTTTTTTAACCTTAGAAGGTGACCACCATTAGCTGGAAAGACAGTGTCAATCAACAGTGTAAGTTAGCTGTAGGGACAGTGTCAGTCATCACTGTAAGTTAGCTGTAGGGACGGTGTTCATCATCAGTGTAAGTTAGCTGTAGGGACAGTGTCAATCATTCGTATAAGTTAGCTGTAGGGACAGTGTCAGTCATCAGTGTAAGTTAGCTGTACAGATGGTGGTCATCAGTGAAAGTTAGCTGTAGGGACGGTGTTCATCATCAGTGTAAGTTAGCTGTAGGGACGGTGTCAATCATTAGTGTAAGTTAGCTGTAGGGACAGTGTCAGTCATCAGTGTATGCTAGCTGTAGGTACAGTGTCAGTCATCAGTGTAAGTTAGCTGTAGGGACAGTGTCAGTCATCAGTGTATGCTAGCTGTAGGTACAGTGTCAGTCATCAGTTAGCTGTGGGGACGGTATTCGTCTTCAGTGTAAGTTAGCTGTAGGGACGGAGGTCATCATCAGTGTAAGTTAGCTGTAGGGACGGTGGTCATCATCAGTGTAAGCTAGCTGTAGGGACGGTGTTCATCATCAGTGTAAGCTGTAGGACAGTGGTCATCATCAGTGTAAGTTAGCTGTAGGGACAGTGGTCATCATCAGTGTAAGTTAGCTGTAGGGACAGTGGTCATCATCAGTGTAAGTTAGCTGTAGGGACGGTCATCATCATGTAAGTTAGCTGTAGTGGTCATCATCAGTGTAAGCGCTGTAGACGCAGTGTGTCATCATCAGTGTAAGCTTAGGCTGTAGGGACGGTGGTCATCATCAGTGTAAGTTAGCTGTAGGACGGTGGTCATCATCAGTGTAAGTTAGCTGTAGGTGGTCATCATCAGTGTAAGTTCGTCTTCAGTGTAAGTTAGCTGTAGGGACAGTGGTCATCATCAGTGTAAGTTAGCTGTAGGACGGTGTTCATCATCGCGTAAGTTACTGTAGGGACGGTGGTCATCATCAGTGTGTTAGCTGTAGGTACGGTGGTCATCATCAGTGTAAGTTAGCTGTAGGGATGGTGGTCATCATGCGTGTTAGCTGTGTAGGTACGGTGGTCATCATCAGTGTAAGTTAGCTGTAGGCACAGTGGTCATCATCATGTGTTAGCTGTAGGGATGGTGGTCATCGTCAGTGTAAGTTAGCTGTAGGGACGGTGTTCATCATCAGTGTAAGTTAGCTGTAGGGACGGTTTTCATCAGTGTAAGTTAGCTGTAGGGACGGTGGTCATCATCAGTGTAAGTTAGCTGAAGAGATGGTAGTCATCATCAGTGTAAGTTAGCTGTAGGGACGGTGGTCATCAGTGTAAGTTAGCTGAAGGGATGGTGGTCATCATCAGTGTAAGTTAGCTGGAGAGACGGTGGTCATCATTAGTGTAATTTAGCTGGAGAGACAGTGGTCATCATCAGTGTAAGTTAGCTGTAGGGATGGTGGTAATCATCAGTG